AAGTATTATTTAATCAATTAACTGAAAAATATGAAAACTTTACAGCAGTTGGAGAAGATGATAAAGAAGAAATTAATGATTTAACTAAAGAAATAGAAGAAATTAGAAAAATGGTAGAAGAAAGAAAGAAACAATTAGCTGAAATGAAAGAAAAAGAAGGAGAATCAATGGCAAGTAAATTTGTAGAAGAAAATAAAAGGTCAGCCGAATTAGGAGATAAGAAGACTGATTTAGTTGAAGAAATAGAAGAATTAGAAGAAGAAGTTAGTGTATTAAAGAAAACAGTTCAAACAGCACAAGATGATTGTGATGAAGATAAGAAAGATTTAGAAAAAGCAGGAGAATTACAAAAATTGTATTTAAATATTCAACCATTAGAAGAAAATTTGAGAAGACAAATTGTCGATTTACATAAATGGGCTCCTTATTTGAAAAGTGAAGAAGGATTTGGACAAGAAGATCCAAAACTAAAAACACTAAACGAACCAAAAGAAGGTGATTATAAAGAAGTCTTTAAGGAAATGGCAGAAGACTTAGAAAAAGAAAATGATGAAGTTGGAAAAATATTAGTTCAATTAAAGAAAGAACAATTACAAAAAGAACAAAAGAAAACTGCAAAAGTTGGTGTTAAAAAACCAGTAGTAAAGAAAGATAAGAAATAATCATTTAATACTTTTTATTATTTTTATTAATTATTTATAAAAGTCTATTTATTTAACAAAATATAATAACAAAAAATTTAAATACCAAATCAAAAATTTCGATTATTGGAATTCAAAGAAAGCAGTGACAAGATCACCTTTAGTCTTCTTAAGAGCAGCATATGCTTTTTCATGTGTGGTATTGGCTTGTGCCATAAGAACTTTAACATCTTCTTCAGCTGGAACATATCCATTATCTTCAACAGCTTCTGTAGCAGCTGGTGCCTCAGTTTCAGCAGTTGGTTCTTCTTTCTTTTCTTCATTATTGGCTTGTTGTTCTTTCATGTTAGCTTGAAGTTGTTCAAGGAGTTGTCTAGTTTTAGCATCCATAAATTCATTCTTTGGTTCACCATAAATGACATAATGTTCACTTGATGGGAGTTTATAGACAGCTGGATCATGAATAACAAATTTAGTTCCCATTCTCTTAAGTGAGAATTCAATGACATCATGAACTTCAACAAGTCCGACTTTTTCAAGAGCTTTTCTTGCTTTCTTTTCACCTTTTGACATTACTCTTTCAACTGGTGCAGCTTCTTCTTCATGTTTATGGCAGCAGCAATCATCACCACATTTACAATCATCTCCACAGCAGCATTTATCACCACATTTACAGTCATCTCCGCATTTGCAATCATCACCACAGCAGCATTTATCACCACAGCAACATTTTTTTTCTTCAGTAGCAACTTCTTCAACTTTCTTTGTATCTTCGGCGGACATTGTTTGAGTTGTTTTTAAGACTAAAATTTTAGGTTTTTATTATCATATTTTATTATAATTTAATAGTTTCATTACTATTTTTAATTAGTTTCTTTTCTAAACCTCGTTTTTTTGTTTTTTTTTTTAAAAATGTTTTTTTCTTTCCACGTACTTCTGACGTTGGTTATAATAATTTTTAACGAGCAGTTTAAAAGTTAGGTCAATATTAATTTTAAGAGACTTAATTACAATAAATTAATACATCAGTAATGTGAGGTATAATTAAAAAAGTTTATATGAATAAAAAATAATAAATAATGAGAAGTGTAATAGATATTTGAATAACATACCAGTATTTTATAAAAAGAAGAAATTTAGAAAAAAAAAGTGTCAATAAGAAATAATAAAAAGAATGATATGACAATAATAAAATAATAATATAATAATTAGAGTTTAAACTTTAAATTTGTTAAAAGAAATATTTAAGGAATGAGTTACATGTTAAACCCAACAATTATCCTTCTCAAAGAAGGAACAGATACTAGTCAAGGAAAAGGACAAATTATTAGTAATATTAATGCATGTCAAGCAATTGCTGATATTGTTAAAACTACTCTTGGACCACGAGGAATGGACAAGTTATTTATTGAAAATGGGAAAATACTTGTAACTAATGATGGGGCAACAGTAATGAAAAATTTGGATATTGTTCATCCAGCAGCTAAAGCTTTAGTTGATATAGCAATGGCACAAGACTCAGAAGTTGGAGATGGAACTACTACTGTAGTAGTTCTTGCAGGAGAATTACTTTCACAAGCCAAGAAATTAATTGAAGATGGTATTCATCCACAAGTTATTATTAAGGGATATCGTATGGCATCAAATAAAGCTAGAGAAGTAGTTAATACAATGAAAATTGATTTTGATAAAAAAGATTTAATGGAATATTTAAAAAATTGTGCCAAAACATCAATGCAAAGTAAATTAATTGCTATGCAAAGAGAACATTTTACTAATATTGTTGTTCAAAGTGTTATGCACTTAGATGATAAATTAGATATTGATATGATTGGAATTAAAAAAGAACAAGGAGGATCATTAGAAGATTCATTTACATTAGAAGGAGTTGCTTTTAAGAAATGTTTTAGTTATGCTGGATTTGAACAACAACCAAAATTGTTTTATAAACCAAAGATATTATGTTTAAATATTGAATTAGAATTAAAGAAAGAAAAAGATAATGCAGAAGTACGTATTGATGACCCTACTCAATATCAAAAAATTGTTGATGCAGAATGGTCTATTCTTTATGAAAAATTAGAAAACATAGTTAAGTCAGGAGCAAATATTGTTTTATCTAAATTACCTATTGGTGACCTTGCTACTCAGTACTTCGCTGATAGAAAAATCTTTTGTGCTGGTAGAGTTGAAGAAGATGATATGAAAAGAGTTTGTCTTGCTACAGGAGCTCAAATACAAACTACTGTTTCAGAGTTAAATGATAGTGTTTTAGGTACATGTGGAAAATTTGAAGAACACAAATAGGAAAAGAAAGATATAATTTATTTAGTGGATGTACTGCTGCAAAAAGTTCTACTATAATTTTAAGAGGAGGAGGAGAACATTTCATTGATGAGGCAGAACGATCATTACATGATGCTATTATGATTGTCAGAAGGGCTTTGAAACATAAACAAATGGTTACAGGAGGAGGTGCTGTTGAAATGGAAATTTCAAGACAATTAAAAGAATATGCAATGACTATTGAAGGTAAAATTCAATACGTCATTCTTGGATATGCTAAAGCATTCGAAGGCATCCCAAGGCAATTGGCTGATAATGCTGGATTTGATCCAACAAATATCCTTAATTTATTAAGAAAAAAACATGCAGAAGGAGGTTTATGGTATGGTGTCAATGTTAATGAAGAAGGTATTCTTGATATGATGGAGGCTCAAGTTTGGGAACCTGCTTTAATAAAATTAAATGCTATTGCTGCTGCTACTGAAGCTGCTTCATTAATTATTTCAATTGATGAAACTATTAAAGCCCCAGAGCATACTCAAGGATAAAAATTGAATTGAACGAATGTTTTCAATATCGGTTAATTTCATTTAATTTTTTTGTAGAAGTTGACCGTAATAATTTTACAAAATTCAGACGTTCATTATGAATAACAAATAACAAATAATCTCATTATGATTGAAAATAATACAAGTCATTCAGTACATTAGTAGTAAATGACAGACTACCACATAGAACTAATAAATATGATGGAACAGACTGATATTGATTATTAGTCTGTAGGTTTGATAAAAAGTATTTTTGTATTTACATTACTAACATAAAAAACGTTTGAGTACTATAATGTTTCATAACGAAAATAATAAGTGGTTGTTGTTCAGGTGAATAACTACTAATTTTAAGTTGTTTTTTTAAATAAAAAAAAACAACTAACTACTCAACGATAAATATAACAACCATACTTAATATCAAAAAAACTGAACATTAAACTAAATGTTAATTTGATTGTTATAAGGATCACTTCCAGAATTATTTAAAAAATCAATAGTTCATAAAGTAAAGTTAATCAATTATTATATTCCAATAAGTAATTTGAAAGGATTTAATAATAAATAAATGATAGTACAAAGGATATTTTATCACATTTAATAATTAAATAATAATAAATAACATAAAAAACATAGGTGGATTTATTTTAATACATTGAAACAAATGAAAATAATCTTTGTTTGTTAAATTAAATATCATAAAAGTAAAAAATCAATTTTAAGATGTTTTTCTTCTTACTTGTATTTAAAATATATTTAATAATAGACAATAATAGGAATGACTTATAGTACATTCAGTAGTATATCATACTTATAGTATAGAGAAATTCAAGGTTCGAGTGGTTGACTAATTTCTTATTAACTATTATCAAATACAATCAATGTGTTATTAACATATTAAATAAGAGTATACTACTTTACAACCACAAAATTCAAAAAAGTCATGTTTATTGAAATAATTTAATATACAGAGTTTACACCATTTAATTTATTTAATAATTATTGTTTGTTTTTATTTAAATTTCATTTTTATATTGTTCAATTTCAAATAGACCATAGTTATTATTTTCATTTCAATTGTTATAGTTTGTTATGTTGTGAAATATTCATTTCAATAAAGTGGATTTGATATTCCTTCATATTCAAATAAACAATGATAACAATATGAATTTGTTTCATCATTTTTTTATAAACAACAAACATCATCATTTCAAATTCAAATAATGTCTTGAGTGATTAAATAAATTTGTTTATTGTTTAATATCAATTTTCATTCTTCATTTTAAATTTAATGAAAATACAAATGATTTTTAACCATTTATATCCAACAGTAATTATCAATTTTAGAATTAATATATCCTTCATTTTTATTTCCTTCTTTATCTTCAATGATACTTGTTATATTTTTGTTATTCATTATTCTTTGTTTAAACGTTGATATATTTTTATTCCAATCATCATTGACTGAATTAAATAATATATTAGTTATTATTTTTCTATCAATTCTTCTATTTGTTTGATTATTTCTTAAATTCCTCTCATTCTTTGCAACTTCTCTTCTTGTTTCTTCTTCTTTTTAATATTTCCTAAATAATATCAATCATTACTATTAACATCATCCATCGAATGTTGAATGATTGGAAGTGTTTCTACCACTTATTTAATTAATTTGTTATTAAATTTTCCATTTCAAAGTCAATGATGTTTATAAATTCAACATAAGATGAAAAAATAATTAAATACACGTTATTGACACATCAAGCCAAGTTGTATTTTATTTATAATAAACATCATTTCATTTTTATTATTTTTGACTTACAACAACAATAATAACAATGTTGTTATATCTCTTTTTCTTATTGTTACATTGGAATGTTTGTTTTATTGAAATGCTCATCTAAATATAAGTTAAAATTAAAACAAATGAAAGCCAAATAATAATGAAGCGTTGAGGTATAAAAGAAACAAGAATGATGAGAAAAAAGAAAATCAATGACAAATTAAAACAATATAAATAAACTAAAAATAAAATAGTAAATAAAATTATAATTATATTATAATAAATAATAAAAGAATGAAGGATAAGAAAAATAAAAAACGTCAATACGAAGTATAAAAGGAAGAAAAACTGAAAGAATAACAGAACGATGCAAATATTTGTTAAGACACTCACTGGAAAAACTATCACATTAGAAGTCGAACCAAATGATTCTATTGATGCTATTAAGGCTAAGATCCAAGAAAAAGAAGGAATTCCACCAGATCAACAAAGACTTATTTTTGCAGGAAAACAATTAGAAGAAGGAAAGACTCTTTCAGATTATAACATTCAAAAAGAATCAACACTTCATTTAGTCTTAAGATTAAGAGGAGGATATTAAAATAATTGAACTATTCATTATAATAACGGTTTAAAAATGAATAAAAGAAATAAAATAATTTACATTTTATCCAATAGACAATAGTTAAATCAGTTTTAATAAAACAAACAAATAAAAAATAAGTAAATTGAATAGGAATAATGAATATGTTTAATTTATAACAACTCAGTTATTT